CCATATGATCATTTGATTTCTCACAATTCGCAAGGCCACAAGTTGCACTCTGAAAGCCACTGCAGATGTCAGCCTTGAGCACAAGGTGGATGGGGTGGGACAGACGGGTCAGGGCACATCAGTGGGAAAACAACTGCATGCCATGTTCTTATCAATGATGAGCTAACAGCACCACCCCTGAGTCTGACAAACATCATGAAAGAACAAAAGGACATGTATTGAGTTCCTCTCTATCCTAGCCATCAAAAGAATGGCTAAATCTCAAACTTATGCCTTAATATTGGGCTTCTCATGATCATTAAAAGAGAAAAGATTTTCAAAACAGAACTTTTCCACAGAAACCAGGACATTTGCACTGTTTACAATTCAATTCATCAACTTAAAAATCAGAACCACAGCACACATACTTGAGCCCTTCTTGAGCTGGGGCCATGAGGCCATGTGTATTCTCCCAGACCCTTCCATCTCTACTTGATTGAACAGCAGAACATTTTTAACGGGAAATGATTTGTGACAGCTCATAAACAGCTCTGAATACAAACCATTGTCAAAGGAAGTATTAACAAATTTGCACTTCTCCAGTTCCCACACAAGCTATTTTCTCATCATTTTGACAAGAGAAATATTTAAGGAAAATGCAACAAACAGTTCTGAGATCTATGGGCAATGTTTCCCAAATAAGTGCTCCAATGTACATCAAACAGCTATTTCTTGTCAGCAATATGAATTTCCTTTCACCCCAGCAGGTGCACCAGCAACACTGGGTGCCCAGACACCTGGGCTTTCCCCCTCCATTCACTCAGCCCCCACTTCTGATCCTCTCTTTAGAAGAGAGAGGGCTCTCTATTTCATGCCAGTGCACACGCCAACTTACCAGGGATCTCATTTTCAAAGGGCTCTCTAAGAAAGAAAGCATCTACAGGGTGCCAGACTGCTAGAGATGCTGTTGGCGGTGATCTGTAACTTGACCCTGTTCAGAGCAGCTCGAAAGACCTGCTGGTTTTCATTGTATTTAAACCCAGTGGCCCTGATGAAATGCTGACCCTGAAGCAAGAAGGCTTCAGAAACACTTAAAATTGTTTTCACTCAGTACTTCTCAAACTTTAAGATGCATGAACCTCCTCAGGACCTTGTTAAAAAGCAGGTTCTAATTTGTGGGTCAGGGTGAGGCTGAGAATCTGCATTTCTAACCAGCATCACACAAGAGTAACTCTGATAACAGAGCCAGGAAAGGGACCCTAATTTAACACATTGAGGACAGGGCATTTAAACTGTTTAAATGCATGTTCCCAGGGTTTAAACCAGTTAAATCAACTTTTATACTGAGTTTCTTTAAAATTTTATGACAAATTCGCTATTTTTGTGAACTGAAATTTTCAGGAAATACTCACCAAAGACCCTAGTAGTGCTTGAGGGTGTGATACCTCTGGAAACATTCCCCCTTAATGTATAGACGCAACTCTCCATCACCGGTCCACAATGTGTTAAAAGAGGAGCCATTTCTATTCCCAACATAGAGGACCCATCTCAAATATACAAAGATGTTTTTAAAGGAAGGAAACAGATTTAGATTCACCCAAACCTCGTGCCACCCAATTCAGGGCAGTTCATGGATCTGAGTCCTGTCAACATCTATAATCACTCTTCTACTTTTCGATAGAATAATAAATAGAGCATTAAAATCTTTTCCCTTTCCCTTTCCCCTGAAGAATCAAAGTACTTTAAATTGAATCTTTCTTGCAAAGAAACTCCATTTGATTTCCGGACGATTAACACTCATAATATCCTAAATAAGTGGTAAGCTGTTTTCTAAAAGGTTAGAGAGCACAACCACAGAAACAAGATGTCAACAAACAGTAATAATAAAAGTCAGCTAAAATATTACTACTTCTATTACTAATAATAATGATAATAATAGTAATAATAAATTGTCTCCTCACAATAAAATTGATGATCAAAACTTCCCCAATCTTCCCCATCCTGATAAAATACAACTGCAATTGCTCAGGCAAAATCTCAAATGCACTCTTGTCTTTCTCAGTCCGCAGCGAACCCTCACAGCACCACTTTCCAGGTTTTGATTCATTCCCTCCACCGGGAACACCCTGGCCTGAGAGCCATCACCTCTAGGGACTCAGTACTTCAACGACTCCTCTGCCGTTACCCCCACTTTGTTCCACTCATGAAATCGAAGCCAAGACACTGCTCTGCTCCAAGTTTGGACTGGCCCCTTTCACCAGAGCCCTATAGGGACCTACAGGACCACGCACATGCATACCTGGCCTGTATCCCTTTCTTCCCCTTGCTCCTCTCCAGTCACATGACTTGGAACAGTCCGGAAAAGCTCTGGCCTCAACGCTTTTGCACAGAGTTCCCTCTACCTAGAAATCTTCCCAAATAACCACATGGGTCACTCCCTTGGCTCCCTGCTCAAATTTCACCTGACTGATAAGACCCTCCCTGACTCCCACACATGCCACCAGTGGAGCTTTTAAAATTATAAGAATTGGGGGTTTGTTTCTTTGAAATGTGTTGTTTTTTTCATGCTTGTTACCTGTGGTCATTTTTTTTTTGGTGAGGTTCACTCTAGTTCAGAGTAAGAACACATCTAGTGCTAGAACAGTCATGAATGGAAGATAATATTGGATGTACCTATAAGAGCAAACACTACAGCTGGAGTTTTAGGCCCAACTATGACCCAAATCAGCCGAATGGCCTCAAAGCAGCCCTTGCCCTGTCTGTGCCAGGGCCTTCCTCATATGTTCAAAGGTTGACCCTCCACACCCCCTGCCCAGTCTCCACACCACAGTCAAGTGAAAACAGAGCTTGTCATCCCCCTGCTCCAAACACTCCAATGGCTTTCCAAAACCTTCAAGATCCCGCAGGGTCTCAGAAAAGAAAACCCTTAACCAGCCTGAGGGACCCCTGCCACCCACCTGCCCTCCACACTCCCTCCCAGGTTGTTCCCTGCCTCCACTGTGAGCACCTGTCCCCAGTCAGCTCTCCCTCTACCATCTACCACAGAGGCAGGGAAATGCTCTCGTGGTTATGCTTGCCTTGCAGGCTCTCCCCAGGAGCAAGTGCACATTTATTCACAGGACTGCTTGATCACTACGTTCTCCCCACTTCACAGTCAGCTCCCAAGGCCGGCTGGGCTGGGCTGAGTACGCTGAGCTGGTGAGTGAGCAGGGGAGGGGGCATCATCAGAAACGCACCCACACTATCACGGGCAGTGACACCTGAGTGTAAAGGGGCACGTACAGCCACACTGTGCTTGATCAAAGGTGCCTGTGTTCATTTCCACAGAAAAGTAATACAAGTAAGATTGATTCTGATCATTAGGCTTTTATGAGACTATCAAGAGATTCTGAATCCAGGTTTTCCTGTTTTCATTGACTACATTCCTTCTTTCTTCCTCTGTCTCTGTCCCTCTCCCTTTCTTATTTGCAGAATTCACAAGGTAATACACACCATACTTCCCATTACAAACTAACCACTATTGGCACCATGTGTCATAACCGGTCCCAAAAGGAACCTTGCCTGCTCATATTAAATCAGTCAGAAGAAAGACTTATTAACCATCCTAACGCTAGTTTACCCTGCAGGCTTAGGAATTCCTTCAAAGAGGGGGAACGGGGAGGGAAAAAAAGGAGTTTTTAAATACTACTCTTCCTAAATTCACATTACGTCTCTATAAAGAAATGAAGTCAATGACACATTCAGTAAACAGTCTAAGCATGCTCAAGGGCAGAAGCATACGAAAATGTGTCTGGCTTCCCTCACAATGACTGCCTCTGGTCACTTAGAGGCTCTAGCTCCTGCTGCCTGTTCCAGTAGGACTGCAGCTCTGTGTCCTCGGCAGCTGCAATGCTTGACACTTCTTCATCTCACTCCTTTTTTCTCCTGTGGCACCTCTCGGCACTGACAGTGCATGAAGACTGAAGACGGCCACCACCTGGGGCGCCTCTGGGACTAGGCCCAGCAGTCTGACCCTACATCCGGAGACCAGGCTGGCCAAAGAGCCCAGTGATCACTCAGACTTGGGATCAGAGACATGGGAGGCGCTGTGCCAGGAGCGAGCAGGCCTGGACCCTGGACCCTCTGACTATCCTGGCTGCTACTCGAGCACGCACTGGTCTCATGCCATCTGTTCTCTGAGCAGGCAGTGGTTTGGAAAACTAGCAAAATGCCAAGACACAAAATAAACAGAAGAAAGCCTAATAAGACTATACACTTACTATACTAGCAACAAGGGTCGCCTCTTTGCAGAGGCCCAGACACGACTGTGCATGTGGAGGAAGATAGCACAGGAGGCTGTTGCTAAACATTTCATATAAGCCTTACTTTTAATATCAGCCAAGGGCATCTAAGTTTCTCACACCAGCTTCTCTCCGATTTTCAATGGTCTTCACACATTATATAAATCAGGTATTTTCCATGTGCACAGTCATCTCTGAGATTTCACCCTGTTAAGTGTGGACTGACTGATTCACATGAGGACGCCATGTGACACAACTGAGTTACAGTGTCACACTTTTATGTGACAGGTACACAAAAAAATGCATCAATATCTACCCATAATTAATTCCTAAGATGGCTAAGTACAGAGGGTAGACCTTGTTGCCCATCTACGGTAATCCCACTGCCTAATGCTGAACTGGGGACCCACTATGTTCCAATGGAACGACTGCAGTGCCAACCCCATCGTCTTTCTTGGGTTTCTATTTGTAATTGTAATAATATTAGCAGTGACTACTGGGAATAAATCATGTGTGTATCAAAGTCAAACTGGGGTCAGTCACCTGGTTAGATGCAGGGCTGTGGCCTTCCCCTGGGTCCCTAGCACCTGGCAGCACCTCGCAGTGAGCACAGTGAATAATCGCCAAAGGAATGAATGCAACTTCGCATTTGAGTTTCAGTAATAACATCAATTTTTCATTAAAAACTTCATTTACAGCAAAGAGAGTTATTCTAATATGAAGAGACATTTCAATACATACTGTTTCTCACTGGAAGATCCAAGTCCCCTTCAAACAATCATATTTCTATGGAAACACAAAAATAACATTCTTTTCAATCTGCCTCGTTTATAGTCACCAGGGTTGAGTTTTCATATAAGCCACTAATTTGTTTTGAAGACCAGTAAGAAAGGTATCTTAGCCTCTTCAGTAGCTGGCTACAAGGTCAGGAATTCCACATTTGTGTTAAACAATTGTTCTTCAAGACACCATCTCTTTAAAATGTAAATAACCCCAAGGGGTCAACAGTGAAAATACTAATAGTTGTTAACACCTTGGTGTGAAGTAGCTTAGCAGTTAAACCCATAAACCTATTTATTAGTAGGCTGGTGGTTCATTCATTGGAGGAAAAGCTACAGGAAAAGACAGCTCTGCCAGGAGAAAGAAGTACATTTGGAGCAAGGGGGTAACTTGGCATTCAGAGGTGACATAAGGATCCTGGGCATCTAGGGAAGGTGGAATACGGAAGTAATGCAGCCGTTCTCCTTAGACTCTGCAGTTTAGTCTGGCTCTTACAATCACATTTCTCAAGAAAAGTGAAATTATATGGAGTTCAAGAGGTTTTTCTGAACCACAGGGTCACAATCAATAACAATAAACACAAATAGAAGTGATGAAGAAAGGCTCCAGAGTGAGTGTGTTGGCGAACAAATCCTATTGCATATCCCTTGCATTTGGAGCATTTTCCTTTGAAACTGTGGCAGAAAGCAGGAGAAAGACCAAATCCAGTTCTCATTTAAAGATGCTTTCAGTAGTAACACCAGAGCATTAGGAAGAGACCACGTGATGACACACAACAAGCATGCAATCAGGTACAAACTCTGCAGGCCTCATATACACACATGTGAAGGGTACTGCTGAGGGTCACAGTCACTCATTTAAGGCCAACTTCCTCAACAGGAAATGAGAACTGATGGACACAGAAGATGTTGATCATGGCTGAGAATGGGATTCACTATACTGTTCTCCACTTTTAAAGAGTTTGAAATTTTACCATAATAAAAAGTTAATAAAATTGTTTAAAGAATGAAAAAGAGCGGTGGCTATACACAACATGACATACTGAATTGGATCTGGGAACAGAAAAAGGATATTATAGAAAAACTGATGAAATCCAAATCAAGTCTGTGGTTTTAGTTAGCAGTTTTGTACCAATGCTAATTTGATATGTGATCAAATTATCACAGTGTTAATGTGGTAAGTGTACCAAGGTTGAGTAAGATGTTAATACAGGCATGTCTTGGAGATATTGTGGGTTCAGTTCCAGACCACTGCAATAGAAGTAACACAATAAAGCAAGTCCTAATCTTTTTGCTGGTGGAGGGCCTTGCCTTCCATCTGTAAAAATCGTAACACCTGTGAAGTGCAATAAAGTGAAGCACAATAAAACAAGGTATTCCTCTATTAGGGGAAGTTGGATGAAGGGCTAATGGGAACTCGGCACTATCTTTGCAATTCTTCTATAAATCTACAATTATTTCAAAATAATTGAAGGAAATTTTTTTAAAGCAGTGGTTAGTGATAGAAAAGGGAGGACTATAGATTTTTAAATCCTTCAGCCTGAAAATGTAACCCGTACCTACTATCTCCTGGCTCCTGAAAAGCTAGCTAGCTAGCCAGGTTGGAATTTGAAAGGCTGTCAGTGAGAACGGATGTGTTTCTAATTATGACTTTTAGAGTCCTTGCGTTTACTCCAGGTCTTTTTTGTCCTTATCATGCCATCACTGTATCTGTGTGCAATGAACACACATACACTGTTAGGAAGCATTTTTATGTGCTTACAGATAAAAAGGCATCACAGACTAACTTAGTTTTAAAAATCTCGTGTTACTGAGCACTTGTGAGCCACCTGCAAGACTGTTTAAACCCTGAGATTGCTAAGTACAAATGTTCTCATTTCTAAGTGTGACTAATGGAATGTCAGTAGACCACCAGTTCCTCCAAATAAACTAGCTAAATGTTGTAATAAGAGAAGACAGCCTCTGACACAGCTCACTCCACACTTCATCTTCGGAAACAAATTTTCCAAGGCACTGACAAAACGGGGAATTCTATCATCGGGGATCATGTTTCTTTACAGAACCCTGACCACTCTAATACCTACTCCAACCGATAAGCAGTGGGCCAGTTACCCAGTAATGGCTGTAGCATCTGCATTTTATATTATGGCCGGGGCCAACTAAAGGGAAGCAATTGCATATAACCTCGGTGTGTGAACACCCACCCGTAATAAATCACTCTCCCTCTCCTCATCACCAATAAAGCACTTTACAGAAAACTGACCATAGATTTCTGTCAGTGATTTAGACAAGTGGCATAGGAGAACTCCACACATGTCCCAAACTCAGGGCTGCAGAAACAGACAGGAGGCACATCACCAGGTGCCAGGCAGCTGAGATCCTCAGGGCCAGGACCTATGGGCACAGTCTGATCTCAATATGGGCAAAAACAGGTAGAGCTTGAGGGTAATAATGATGGCCACAAACCATTTGGACCGCTGTAGGCTGCCAGCACATCATCCTATGCCATTAGGTCTTTAGTGAATGTGTTATGGTTATTTTAGACAATATGGGTTATCTGAATGTATTATTGTTCATGCACTTTAATTAGCCTCTAAAAATACAGGGACCCAACAACCTTCATGCCAATCTTTGTTCACACATTAAATCCATTTTTAACAATGCATTTTTAATTTGCTCTTGAGCATCTACTTATACATCTGTCAGTGCCTGCCTTGTAATTCCAGGCAGAGAACCACTCTGCAGAAACAAAGTAATGACGGTGACAGTGTTCTGAGCCTTGAGCCCGACTACGTACTGGACACATGCTCAGCACTCTGCACGCCCTGTCCCTTAATCCTCCCACTGGGCTGCAGGCAAGAAGAAGTGGAAGCCAGAGAGGAAGAGAGGCAAAGAACAGGCCCACATTCACAGCTCAGCAGAGCTGTAAGGAAGGGCCTTTGCTCCCTCACCCCTAACAGGAGGCCAGGAGCTGCCATCTGTACATATGATCTGAGAAACATCACTTCTCTTTGCCCCTCTTGAACAGAAACCATCATGCTGTCTGTTCTCATCCTGTTTGGAGAAACTTTGCTGTCCACAATCCTTAGAGATGTGTGGGCCATAGCACAATATAGAGCCAGGGTCCAAGATGTAGGCTTGAGGGACAGGGCCAACTCCTTCCTACCCTGTGACTTGGGCACATCACTCAACCTCTCTGAGTCTCAGTTTGCACATTTGGAAAAAACAGAAGACAATAATATCTTGTATAGTAAGCACTTGGCAAAGTCTTATATGCATATTAATAAGGAGTAGTAGTATTTTTTACTAGAATAAACTCAGCAAAAACTTCAGACAGCCCCGAGAATTGACATCACTTAAATCCAATGCATAAATAAAAAACTCTCTCCTCACTTGCCTGTCTCACCTTGAATCTGCACTGTTACCCCTAGGACTGAATAAGGACTCATTAATGGTGAGGACAAGATGGTATTAAGCATGCCCCCCATGGTTCAAGGTCATAGCATAGTCAGGCCTTCCTAGGGTTTGGGATTGGCTAGGTGACATGGTGGTCTTCCAAGTCCAGGCACTTGTGGTCCTGAGAAGTCAGGGTCACGCCTGCATAGCACTTCAAGCATACTATTCGTCCACAAAGTCGTTTCTCAACATTCCCCCCTTATGACATTGGCCCAGGCACAGCTCCACTTACAGAACCTATCACCAGCAAATGTCCACCAAACTGAGACAGTCGACAGTACTTTCCAAGAATCTCTTATGCTTAAGTAATGCCCTCCAAAATTATAAGGTCCATAGGACATAGTTAATTTATGTGTTTTTATTTCTTCCAGAGTGCCTAACAAAATTGCTAATGAGGTATATGATACATGCTTTCTAAATATTTATTAAGTTTAACTTTAAAAAGAATGATCCCTCCTTTCCGTGAGGATAAAAAATCCTAACAATAGGGTCAATCCATAAGCTCTGCTAGCTCAAACTTCACACAGGAACATTCAAACATAAGACTTGGTTTGTGTAGCTCCTCCACTGTAGTCACAGCCAGTCCTCGCAACCAATTAGCCTGAGAGTCAATTCCTCCCATGACATGCAAAAGCAACCAAAGCTCAACTACAACAGGAAGGCACACACAACCCACACAAGGGACACAGCTGGAGCACCCAGCACAGGTGACCAGGGAGACTGTGCCACTGTGCCCCACAGGACACCTACTACATAAGGCCACTCGGCTAAGACCAGGAGACATAGCAGCTCTACTTGACAAATAGAAACAAAAACAGGGAGGCAGCCAAAGTGGAGAGAAAAAGAAACATGTCCCAAATTAAAGAACAGAACAAAACTCCAGAAAAAGAACTAAACAAAATGGAGACAAACAATCCACCAGATACAGTGTTCAAAACACTGGTTATAAGGGTGCTCAATGATCTCTGTGAAAACTTCAACAAAGAGATAAGAAACATAAAAATGGAAACAGAAAACAAAAAAGAGCCAGTCAGACATAAAGGGTACAATAACTGAAGTAAAGAATACATTAGAGGGGGCCGGCGGAGTGTTGCGTTAGTTAGGAGTTGGCTTGGGACGCCAGCTCTGAGCAGCAGGGCCCCAGTTCAGATCCCATATGTGGGCCAGTGATGCTGTGCCCCCTACTGCTAAGATGGTGAACAGCTCGACCTGGAGCTGGGCTGCCGTGAGTCGCCAGCAACAGTGTAGGCTGCAGTGAAGCTGGCTGGCAGCTGGCGTGAGCTTTTTCGTGAGCTGCTGTGAGCCACAGTGAGCGGCCATCCAATGGCCGGCAACCAATCTGCCTCGCCCGGGGAAGAGTGCAATGATAATACCAACATGGGCCAGGGAAGCGACGTCCTCCACAACTAGACTGAAGAACAAAAGGAAAACAACTTGTCTGTTCCCCTTCCCTGATTCCCCAACGCTGTTCTCCTCTCCAAACAAAATGAGGCTAGTTTAAGGGGCCTCTGGGACAACATCAAGCATAACAACATTTGCATCATAGGGGTA